ATAGATAGATAGATAGATAGATAGATAGATAGATAGATAGATAGATAGATAGATAGATAGATAGATAGATAGAAGTGTGTCATTACTTTGCATTTGGTTAATTTTTAACTTCTCTTATTCTTTATTAAAACTGTTCTGTGTCAGATCAACTTCAAGGTTGTATTAGGCCCTGATCAGTATTTCATTTGGGCCACCTTACATTTTGCACATAGATAATGCGATGACAATGCCTTTGCAGCACAATGCTCAGTCTTGCTGCCATGGTGATGCAGGTACAGTATAACATTTTCAGTAGTTTAGAATACCTTGTATTTGTAGCTATAAACTGAAATGGCTTATCCAACTATGAAGCTGTTTTGTCTATATGCATTAGCTATCCTTAATATGTGAGGATCAGTTTTTTTTTTTTTTTTGCAAAAGGCAGCACGGCTTTTGAGCACATAAAATTTTTTTTTTATTGATATCACAATGGAGAAATTAATGGGGGGTAGTGGGCTGGCACTGTGCAGTGCAATAGGGGGTTAAGGATCTTGCTCAGGGACCCAGAGTAGCAGTGTGTGGGAGTGGGTTTCAAACTCACAACCTCAGGATTCCAAGCCCTATGCCCTAACCACGCGGCCGCCACATCCCTAGTTGGAAGAATATTGTTGTTCATCACACTAATTGCACAAAGGATAAGATATTTCTTGTTATTATGAACTGGCTCTAAATTTAAGGATAATTTTTGGTGCGTTTAATTTAGAAGTCCAGATAATATCTGATCATATCTATTTAAACTCGTACATGTTTATCCAGGTCAGGATTTTTAAGATCACACTGAGCCTGGTTCTGGTTGAGGTTTCTTCCTGTTAAAAGGGAGTTTTTCCTCTCCACTGTCACTACAAGCATGCTTAGTGTGAGGAAATGCATTCTAGTCAATGAGTCGATGAAATCAACTGGTTTTCCTTAGATAGATAACTTTGAATCAATTTGACAGTATGATCTGGTGAACTGTAAAGTGCCTTGAGATGACAAGTGTGTTGTGAATTGGCACTATAGAAATAAACTGAATTCAAATTAAGATATTCTTTTAAGTTCCATATGAGGGTTTAACATTTATTGCAGTTTTGCAAACATGCCCAAAATATTTCCAGTGCTGTTTTTGGCTTCAAGGTAAACCGCAGGATTCTAGAGATTATTGATGTTTCATCCATTTCTCATTCTATTTTCAGATTGTTGTCAGGAAATAGCATTTTTGGTGCATGTTTATATTTAAAGTCAACTGAAAACATTTTATGCTTTAAATAATGATTAGAACATCTGTGAATCAGTGTATATTGTCCCATGTTACTCCAACTTTTGAGCATTAAAACATGTTAGTTGTTTAGCCTATACAGTGTGATCTTCTTGGTCATCCTGTTAATACACTGTACTCTATATTATCAACAGTGCAGATGCATGCTCAAAATAAGCTGGTTCAAGTCAGCAATGGGAACTGTGAGGACCTCATCATTCACCTCAATCAGTTTCTCACATGCTCTTTTTCCCCCCTTATCAAATTAAAACGTGACTCACTACTGGTAAGTAGTATATCCTCCTAAAAACGTCAATTTCATGTCCTCTTCCTCCTCTGCTGCCCACGAAATCCTGCTGCATCACCCAGCTTCAGCCACAGAGCTCAGCAATAGGGCTTTTCTCCCACAACCTACACGCTATGCTACGGTAAAACCGAGCAATAACAAATTGATCCAGTTAGATCATATAATGCATGCGTCCTTATACATCCCTATGTGCTCCCTTCCTTTAGGGGAGGGCTTATTCAGCAGAGAAATAACCCAGGATTGTTTATCAACATCAAAGATTTGCTTCTGCACAATAGGGTAAATAAAATCAAATATCACAGCACGACATAATGAATAAATATAAGAGAATACAGAGGCCAACGTTTTTCCACCAAGCCGCATCACTTGAGATGTTATGTAATTCATCCACATCCGTGCGGAAAATGTAGGCTGACTTACATTTTACCACCCGATCGGCGGGGTTTAAGACGGTGTCAGCGTTGGACATCTTCATGGGCAGTTGCCGTCTTATTTATAAAATTTCCTCTCCCCTCTGTCTCCTCTATGGAAAAACTGTCAGTTATTTCTGGTCGAAATGCGGATGATGCTGTGGCATCACTGATTCAGTGGGTTGTTCTGCGCCGGGTGCTGCTGCTCAAAGGCAGGCAGGGATGGATGCAGGGATGCTGGATGCTGTAGGAGCTGCTCCTGCCGCGCTAAGCTATTAATGTGGGGGAGGATGGAGAGAGAGAGTGAGAGAGAAGGAGAGGGATGCGCACCATCCCGACATGGCGGTGGAGGGAACTCCCACGCAAACGCTTCACGGGACTGCCTGATACTGCCATCAGATGAGCTGGGGTTGCCCCCCACGCACGCAGGCAGAATCATTTAATTCTGTAATCCTGGTTGCACGCAGTGGGGCCCACTACCTATTAAACACCCCGTCACTGTCAGCACCTATTTTATTTTAATTTTTTTTAAATGTAAATTTTCAAAAGAAGTTGAGGTTTACATCATAGCGCACTCCAACACACCAATTAAATTACAAGCCAAAGATATTATCTTACACTATACTAATAATGATAGGAAAATGCAACTGTTGGTTAACTTGATTATTCTAATTGCAAAATTCTACATACACAAAACCACATTTTCCAAAGGTCCACCCTTTTTTTCCCTGTGTTTGAAAATGATTTTAAAAGTTACTTCAATTGTATCCAAAGAATCAACAATAAAAAATGTATACACACTGTTAACGTAATTCAGGAAATATTTGGAGAAATGTAATATATCTTGCCCCCTTTTGTTGTTGTTGTTGTTGTTGTTGTTGTTGTTGTTGTTGTCGTTGTTTAAATCTCTTAATTCTAATTGTACTCCATCATTGAACACTTATTTTGGAGATACTGTTCTATATCTTGTGATATGTTTTGTCAATGTTTTGTAATTTGCAACTTTTCAATAAAGTTTTGGATTGAAAAAAAAAAAATTCACTGTCATCTGGTTGGCTCCCTACGTAATTGTGGACCAGGACATCGCTTTGAAAATGTTACAGTGCGAAAATTCCTCTTAATCCCACTTGATACTGATGAAACTGTCTGGCCGAACCTTATTTATACCCCAACACAGACAGTGGTACTTTTACTATGTTAAAAACTGTGTATAGTTCATTAGACAAAAAATAAACTCATATAATATGTTTCAAAACGCAATAAAGATCTTAAAAGAACGATGTATTTGAGTATTTTATTTTTTACACTACCACTTGGAATTATGGGTAATCCAGAGTGTAGATTAAAACCATAACCGTTACTACAATGTGTTAGCGACGGGGAGGGGCTGGTAGGGGGTCGGGGTGTTGTACTTCATATGGCTGCATGCCTTGATTACCTTTTACAGCTCGTTTTGATTTTAATTGAATCAGTAAAAAAAAAAAAAAAAAACATTTAAAGTACACGCAAATTGGCTTTTAATTTCCTGCGTGCGCACCTGCACGCCAGCCTACATATACTAGCAGACATTTTTCTCTTTCCAACATCACTTGTTCTACACAGTATCAGAAACGTTTTTTACACCAGAACCTTGAAATGCGTTCTAATCTGATGTTTGTTTTTTTTCATAGACAAACATATAGTAGTGTAGAAATGTAAAAAAAAAATAAATAAAAAAAAGCCTCACGCTTTATGTAACAGTTGGAGGGTTTGTGCAGTACAAACTGTATATCAGGGGTCAGCAGCTTTAGGGGATAGATTGGCCCTGGTTAAATAATTCATATATTTATTCAAGGAAATTTGTTTTAAAATTAATAAACATAGTTTTATTTCAATTTCTGCTATATAAATAAAATTATCAAACGTTTACCAGTCGGCTGTGGAGACAAGCAGCACAGAAGATGATTTCAAATGCAAAGGGCTGTAATGCTAAATATTAGGAAATTACACTGATGGTTGGGTTGGCACTAAAGATGACAGTTTGTAAAACTATATAGTTTTCTTTTGGCCCAGCAAGTCAGAACATGGCTTTCTGTATGACTGCACAACCCATCCAAATTTGTGGAATTCAATCCCCCAAAAATGCCGTTTAATGATCATTGCTGTTGGGCAGAAAACTTTGATTATTAGAATTCCTTTAAACTTTTTAAATAATTAATGCCCTACTTTATGAAAAAAGTGACTCACAAAATCTGCAGATCTAGTTCAACGCATCATATTGGTTAATATAGCAGACAGACAAGCTAACAAAATGTACAACAAAGGAATGGTTTTAGACATACAAGGTTTCCACTCAAAAGCAAACACTTCCTGATCTACTATGAATTATGCATTGCACACAGATCAATAAAATATTCATTGCTCCAAAAAAGCAAAGAACAAAAATATTCTTCTTTCTACTTTGGCAATTTTGGCTTTATTTGGCCCCTCGGTTACCGCTGCTCAGGGGGTCAAAGTACCGGTAGATTTAAATTCAGAGGGTTTTGATAAAAAAAAAATACAGAGAGAACTTACATAATTACCTTGTAATGCCATGGCAATCCAGACCTAAATTGAATGAATATGCTAACTAAAATGTTGATATATTTAAAGGAAAATGATCAAATTTTTTAATGACATTACAAGGAAACATTTACATCATATTTAAATAGATAGAAACAAGAAAAAAAAGAAAGAAATATTCAAAGATCTATGTAACCTTTCACCTAGCCTGAGTGCCAATCCGAACTTGGTCCCGCCCACAACGTTTGCTCGCACAATATCTGGCAGGCCAATCAAATTGTCATGGCGGGCTTTATACGATGATGGACAGATGATCAACAGTAACGTAATCAACCACGT